TCCAGTAAATTGATAATTGTAGATCAAGTAAACTGAGGATCATCAAATTTTTTTGGCATTATGAACTTAATATTTTATTTTTCTTAAGAAATATGAATTCTTGTTATTTTGATATGGTTGTAGTTTAATTTTCTATATTTTGATATCTGATATAATTAAACATAAGATTTGAGTGAATTTTTGTTTCAATTTCTTTGATTAATTTAAAGTTAAAAAGATTATCTTGTAAAAATAGTAAAAGTATGATTTAACTCAAGCTAAAGCCTCTGTACCTTTGGTAGAGTGTTTCATTGCCCCTCAAAATCCAAAAACACTTAATTTGAGTTTTTAACTCAAAACTCATAAGTTCAAAATTTCAAAACTTATCTTCTTATGCAATACACAATCTTTTATTGAAAAGTTAAATATTTCAATAGCAAAAGACAATGTCAATCTGAGTAGATTTTAGCTGTATATAAGTTTTTTCCTATGTTTTATTGATATGAATTATACTCTATTATGAAATTTATCTTATTATAAAAAATTTAGTATATTTGGAATCTAAAAGACTTGACAGCTTTACAAAAAACTATCACATTGGAGTGTGAAATTTATCAAAACTTATTTTATCTTGGTACAAACCAAGAAGAATGATTTTTACATATGCAAAGGTTCAATTTAATTGTACTAAACGTTGAGGTCAATTCCGGTTTAATGGTAAAATCAAGTTCTAGCTATCTATAGCTAGGTTTATCGCTGGTATTAGACATATATATACCCCAAGGCTTCTACTCTATATTAGTTGTATTCAGTTGTCAATAAACTCTCACACGTGTTTCAACCGTGGACGTAACCATTGAGCATGAACCACGTTATACGAGTGTTTCTTGTTTTTGTGATTGGCTTGAATGTTTTCTTGGTTTTATATTTATGATTGGGTTCTAGAGCAGGCTTACAATTCAGAGTTTGATCCAAGTTTTAGTTAGGTGTTTTTTCACTTACACGTAGAGTGAATTTTTTGTTTTACTTTTTTGAAAGTTTGTTAACAGTAGTCTTCAATTTTCAACTGAATTTTGTCGACAGTTTGTGTAGTCTCAGAGTCTTGAGTTTTAAGAATTCTTCAGTTTTTCAATTTTCCAAATTTTTTTGTCAATTTTTTGTAGTTTTTAGAGTCTTGAGTTTTCAGAACTTTGTGGACAGATTTGCAGTATCATAAGAAGTCTTTGGTTTTTTTAACAAACAGTAAATTTTTCTTAAGATTGCTCGATTGACAGTTCTTAGTTTGTGCTTGATTAACCAAGAAATTTGACATTGTTGTGGCTGATAAACTGACTGAATTGACAGAGTGCTCTAAGGTTCAGTACTGCAGTAGTAGGGGTGGATAGAGGAGGAGTTGTTTGGACTGGTGCTGGGCGATTGGACTGGGAGGGGCGGACGAGAAACAGAATCCGAGAGCAGAAGGCCACCTTGCAATTTCCGGGCTAACTCTCATTATGTTTACCTCATATGACTTTACAGTAGCTCATCATGGTTCTACATGACAAGGATTGCTTATCATGCTCATAGCCCAAACACCATCTCACATAATCACTCAATGTATCACTCCAGTTCACACACACATATTTCAAAGCTAGGTGGGCGGCTAAAGATTTTGCACAAGAAAATGATGTGGACTACAACAAAGTTTTTTCACTTGTAACAAAGTATGCTACAATTTGTCTTTATGTGCACTGACCACAATATTTGATCTTGTTATGGATCAGATGGATGTGGTTATAACCTTTTCCTATGAATATTTAGAGTAGGAGATCTACATGAGACAACCCATTGGTTTTGTGGTCAAAGGCAAAAAAAGATTAGTTTGTAGATTGTTGAAATTATTGTATGGAGTGAAGCAAACTCATATGCAATGAAACACGCAATTATATGAGCAAGACACAAGGTTTTTTTACCGTGCGTGTATGATCCTTGCGTCTACATGAAGAAGACAAATGATGTTCAATTTCATCAGTCTAGTACTCTACGATGACAACATGCTCTTCTTACCAAAAACCAATCTTATGTTGATGAGTGCAAGAATTCATTGAAGTTTGCATTTAAGATGAACAATATGAGAGAGTCGAAGAAAATATTAGACATAGAGATTCATGGGGATCTTGAACAGAAAAGACTATGGTTGAGTCACTGCAAGAATGTTTGTCTTATAATTGTCAAGTTAAACATGGTAGATTTCAAAGGATTATGAACACCTTTGGCAGCATATTTCAAACTCTTTGCACCTCGGTAGTATATCGAGGTAGTACATCAATATACTACCGATGTTGTGAAAAAAGAAAGAATATCATGTGTTTCCTATGAACAAGCTGTATGCATCTCCATGTATTTGATGATGAACACTAGGCTAGATTTTGGCTTTTCAATGGACAAGATGAGCATATACATGTCAAAGCCAAGGAAAGTTCACTAGCAAATAGTAAAAAGCATTATGAGATATTTAAAGGGTACTTTGGATTATGGTTCACTGTTTAGTGATTTATTAGACAATGCCAAATTCTTGTTTGGTTAATACAAAGATTTGTTTATTTATGTTGATGTTAACTACAGACACAATTTAGATGAGAGAAGATCTACAACTAGGTTTGTGTTTACACTTGGTAGTGGAAGCATTAGTTGGATTTCTACCTTGTAGAAATGTGTACAACAGAAGCTGAGTAGGTGGCAGCTGCAGAAGCGGCAAAGGAAGCTATTTGATTGGATAGACTTATCATGGAAATGGAATTGAAGTAGGGTGTGAATAATCTTCATTGTGATAGTGAGAGTGTTTTACATTTGGTTGCAAATGAGGTTATGGATAGTAGAGTAAAGCACATTGACATCACTTTATCAGACAAGCAATGTCTGATAAAATGATTGACCTAGTCAAGATCAAAAATAAACTCAATCCTGTTGATGTTTTGACCAAAGTTATTCCTTTGAAGAGTTTCACGCGACACTGTGCTACCATGCAATTTGTGCATGGAGAGTGGATATAGAATTTCATAGCATAGTAACTTTAATTATTTTTTATATATTTACTCTATCCTATGATGGCTACGGTTTAGTTCAGCTAACTCTTGTGTAAAGAGTTAGCTTGTATTAAGTTTCTTTCTAAAACTTCCCGCGGAGTAATTATATAAATTATGAGATCTTTGATAACTTCATGCTAGCAGGTTTACTAGTTATCTCTTTATGTTATTACTTTATCTTGTTATGGTTACGATTTAGTTCCAATTAACTCTTGTGTAAAGAGTGGTCTTCTGTTAGATTTCTGTCTAGAATTTTCCGCTAAGTAATAAAATAAGATCAAAGATTATTGTTTACTTAACACGAGTTAAATGGAGATTGTTGAGGTTAACTCCGATTAAGGAGTAAATTTAGGTTAAATTATCTATAGCTAGGTTTGTCCTTGATGTTGGGCATATATATATATAACTCCAAGGCTTCTACTCTGTATAAGTTGTATTCAGTTGTCAATAAACTCTCTCACTTGTTGGAGCCGTGGACTTGGTCCTTGAGGGTGAACCATTTTATAAAAGTGTCTCTTGTGTTCCGCACAAAGAATTCCGCACAAAAACAAAAAGTGGGTTACCACATACCACACCTTTAAAGAGTTTCAGGCGACACTGTGCTACCATGCAAGTTGTGCATGGGGAGTGGATATAGAATTTGAAAGCATAGTAACTTCAATTATCTTTTTATATGTTTACTCTATCCTGTGATGGCTACGGTTTAGTTCAGTTATCTCTTGTGTAAAGAGTTAGCTAGTATTAAGTTTCTTTCTAAAACTTCCCGCGGAGTAATTATATAGAGTACAAGATCTCTGATACCTCTATACTCGCAGGTTTCCTAGTTATCTCTTTATGTTATTACTTTATCTTGTTATGGCTACGGTTTAGTTCTAGTTAATTCTTTTGTAAAGAAGTATCTTGTGTTAGATTTCTGTCTAGAACTTTCCGCTCAATGATAATATTATATTAAAGATTATTGTTTCCTTAACACAAGTTAAGGGGAGATTGTTGAAGTTAATTCCGATTAAGGAGTAATTTCAGGTTAAATTATCTATAGCTAGGTTTGTCGTTGATGTTGGGCATATATATACCCCAAAGGCTTCTACTCTGTATAAGTTGTATTCAGTTGTCAATAAACTCTTTAACTTGTTTCAGCCGTGGACTTGGTCCTTGAGGGTGAACCATTTTATAAGAGTGTCTCTTGTGTTTGTGCTTGGCTTGAATGTTTTCTTGGTTTTACGTTTATGATTTTAATCAAAATTGGTCATTTGATAAGCTCTAGATTTTTTTTAAATTCTTTATTAAATGACATAGGAACTCACAGAACATATTTATTTCTGCTTATGCTAGTCAACTAATAAAAAATTAAGGTATTTTGCATTCCATATATAAAGTTAGCAAAATGAAAGCAAAATCTTCTGCATGGCAACATCAATAATTTGAATTATGATGATTATTGTGACTAAAAAAAGTTTTGTAGTAGCAATTTTCTTTTCTTAATAAGGGCATGTTCGCGTTAATCTAGAATCATGAACACATAACAATGATCAAGCAACAGTTGACACCAAGATAAAACTTGGTTCACCACAAAGGGTTATGTTTTAGGGGAAATTGCGTGAGTGTACTACATATTCTATTTGGTAGTACACAAACTGTGAATATATATAACCAACACCGGTTACGAACCTGGCTATAAATAGCTAAAACTTGATATTTTTCTTCGACCGGAATTAACATCAACAAGTCAATCAACTATTGTCATATCATCTTAAGTTCTAGTTGGAGTGAACTTGAAAGTATAATATTCTATAATTCTTTACTTTTTACTTTCCTTATGAGTTCTTGTACATTTCATTACTACTCCAACCTGTTCAATATTCAAAAATTAGCGATCCGTTTTAAATATCTTCAAATAACCTGAACAGAAGTTACGATTCTCCTGGAAACTGAAATGTAAGCGTTCACAAATCAAGTGCATAAGAAGAATTACTGTAATTAGTTTTTGTTCGTAGTTCTGGAATCCTTTCACAGGCTTAATATATTACCCGCCTGATATAGGCATGCTATGCCAAACGGCTGAAGTTGCTGAGAAACTTATTATTCTGCTCCTGATCTTGATCTAAGTCTCCTCTCTTTTTGAGGGCCACAAATTTCGGCAGCGCCAAGGTCTTCGTATCCGCTAGAGCTATTTGTTCGGCTGCCCACAAACGATATAATTCAGTACTCCAGGTTTTCGGTCCGAGCAACGAGATTTGTAGACGGCGTCTTGTCTTCGGGCCACAAATGATTGCCGAAGACGCCAAATCCTAAAGTTGTGGGTGGCCGCAGCTCAATGCTACTACGTTACACTCCATTAAAATGTGTATTCATTGGTCTATATCTACCTGTGCAAATCTATGTACATTATGTGGGTGAGAAGTACCTCCGGATATCGTGGACAACTACGAGAAGCCCTGAATGCTTGCAAAACTGCTCAAGACGCAAAATACCTGTGGATAACTTTGACGTCCTAATTTTGGCAGAGATGGAGATCCCATCTACTGCAGTCTTCCAGTCCGCATTAGCAGACTCTGCTCTCACAAAGGGGATGCTTGTCAAGATGATAAACCACTGCTAAGTTGACCGATCGTTGACAATTCACGCCCACAAATGCTGAGAGTGTCAGTGACTAAGAATCTATGTTTCTCCATTCGGATCGTGTGCTGGAGCTGCTGGCGGTGCTGGCGGTGCTGGTGGACGAGATGTTCGACCATGTACTGGAGCTGCTGGCGGTGCTGGTGGACGAGATGTCCGACCATGTACTGGAGCCGATGGAGCTGCTGGCGGTGCTGGTGGACGAGATGTCCGACCATGTACTGGAGCCGATGGAGCTGCTGGCGGTGCTGGTGGACGAGAACTCCGACCATGTGCTGTGAGAGGACCCACAGGAGGTTTTGCTATGCCCAGTCTAGCCAGGGTGGGATCTTCAGCGAATGCTATGTCAGGGGGCTCTTCAACTTGTTCACTTGGTCGTTTCTCGTGTTCCGCTTCCTTTTGGTGTTTGTTTCTCCTTCTTTGGAGGAATCCACGAACCGCAGCCTGGATTCTAACAGTAGCTCCGGTCTGAAAGATTCCATGAATGTACTTGGCTCTTTCGATGCGTAAGGGTAGCTCCAGTCCCTGCGTTGGATCGTGAAAAGAAGACGAGGTCGTCAGCTCCTCATGCATCAAATAACAGCTAAAGCTGCCGTAGAGCGTTCAAGTATGTGACAGATCTACGACGAGTTTAGTGAGGTTGTACTGAACGTTACCCTCGCTCCAATCTTGTAGAGGCAAAGCGTTTCCAGTAGAGGTCGAAAACCGATCCCTTTTTCGTTACGAAAGTGGAAGATCTCGTAATCGATGCGAGCGTACCTGGAATGAAAGCAAAGCCCCGAATCAAGTCCAAGATATGCAACTAACTAGGGCAACTGAACACCGCACAAGTCGACGAAAAATTTCAGCACAGCTGCATTGAATGATGCATGATGATTCGAATATTAGCACCCGAATCCTGAGGGGTTACTGAACGGTGTCGGGACTCCGAATAGAAAAATAAGAACAATTGAAGGTTTCATAGAAGGTCCCTCACCATCTGACGAAACCATATCTTCTTCCTCCCAAGGGATGACCAAGTGCAATCAGAAAATCTTTGACTTTATGTTGTCCTATGTAGCCCGTGCACCTGTAGGCAGGACGCAGTAGGATCAATTGAGGATACACTCTGAATAAGTTGCCCAACTACCCGCTTGCATTCCTTGATTGTTTCATAAATCAAAGGTAATTTGAGTCTTCTCATAGACACCCATAAAATCCTAGTAAATCTTGGTGGGTTCATCATGTTCCCTTGAATAGTATTACCAATTTCAGACTCAAACATATAGTACTGTCAGGGTTACATGAGAAGATTCCTCCCCATCCAAAGTGGTCAAATCGCACTACAAGGTCGATCGTAATGAAAGAAGGCAGGACTCTGACTTACTACTGTTATCTGTTAGTAGTATTATATACTGTTGTCTGTTTTCCTTAGGAAGCCGTAAGAAACAAAGGAATGAGGCTTAAGAAAAGTACTTACTTTGGATCAAAATCATCTTCAGCCCAAAGTTTTTTGAAAGAAACCAAGTTAGTCGGAGTCAACACCGCATCCTCACTCAGTAACCCAAACGTGATTGTGTCCAAAATTTGGGCAATGAAGAGGTTCGCAAAGATATACGTGGTAAGACAGACAGAAATCAGCATGTATACAAGGCCGACGACAGGAAAGCCACAGTCACTGGCGAATACCGAAACACTGGATAGACAGGCTGGCTCCGTGATTGTAAGGTCGATTATGAGACAGGACCAGTTGTCCAAAGTCGTGACCTGCTCACTCACACAGCATGGCAGTTCTGATTGAGCTTCTTGAACATTTAACAGACCGAGAACGCTAAGCAGACGAAACTGTTCGTCGACAATACAGGTTGTGTAGTGCCATCGCTGATTGACAATGCGAGTCGGTTCGCACTGAGTATACAGCACAGTCAGCACAGTTCAGTTTCTAGAATAGCTGTACTTCAGTAGTTCTATTGTGCTCCGAACTGGTTCGATTCATACCAAGTTAGGGCAGCATTTCGCACCAGATGAAATGCACGCCTAGAGCCGAGTTTTTGGCAATGGATCTCCAGTTATTATCGTGGAACAAGTATTAAAAAAGGAAGACCATGGAAATGAATCAGCAATGTTGGCACGATGAATTAATTTCGAGGAGCCACTTAGGTCTTGTGCAACCTGACCTGCTGATTGAATAGACGACATACCTGTATTAGGATGATAAAAGAATTTATCCAGGTCGAGAAGTTATTCTCAGCACCGTTTCTTATGCAAACACCGTCTTTAAGTCTGTAAAATATTTGCACTCCAAGTTGGGCCAAAGCAATAAGAACAATACCCATCAGCATTATGATGTCGATCATGGATGGTAAACTCACAAAAACCGTCGTGAGGATGGTTTTAAGAGAGTGGAAGTAGCGGATTGGACGAAGTATTCTTAAACAGACAAAAATCTTGCCGAGGGCTTCTGGAATGTGAGACCTGCTCCTAGCAGCAGCTAAACATGCTACGCTTCCCACCACCAGTACCAACTCATAGAGATTCCACTTATCTTCCCACCAATCTTGGAGCTGCAGGCGCATCCATGTCACACGTACAGAAGAAGGTCAGAGATGACGTATATACCTAACAAGAATTTTTTGCAGAAAAAGTGTCACGTCGAGATGTTCAGAAACCTAAATACAGTACCGTCTTCGCTATGGTCATAGTCTTGCTGAACAATTATATTCGAGGGAAAATATTCTAATTCAAATATTTATCATCTTTGCGAAGATGCTTGAAGATTTTTAGATCTTCAAGAAAATAGAATGATCATAGAATTTTGGACCGTTTCAAGAATTACCAAGACCACAAGAACATACTAGCTTCACGTCTATCAACAAAATCAACGATCTGAATAGTCACTGGTGGTGACAGTTTGAGGGGGCATGGACAACGACATTCATCAACATTCCAAAACTGCTAGAGATCATCTTCATCAAGTAATCCATCTTGCTTGTTACCGACGTCTGTTCACAAGACTTAGAGATGATTACTTCTTAGGTACTGATCATATTGTGATAAATGGTATTACAAAAATAAAAAAACTCCTGCAAACGATCAAGATCTGAACATTGTTAGCGGACGAATGTCTCGTAAGTTCTGATCATAAAGAGTTAACTGTAACAATATGAAGAAGGCCCGATATTTCGCTCTCGAGTCTCAGTGATCTTATGTTCCGGATAACAGATCCAGAGATTCTTAGAAGGCCTTTTAACTACTGATGCTGGTACCGAAGGGATGACGGCAGAGTCTGTCAATTTGACTCTACAATATTTACTCCACTACTTCAGATTTTAGTAGACCCAATTGTCCACCGAGCATATCCCAGTTTGGGCAAGTAGGTACGCCCAAGTGAATCGTCTTTGCGATGAAGCTCTGTGAAATATTCACACCCTATAATCGCGGGGCTTTCTCGAAACAATTCGATAAATGGTTTTATATTTTAGAAACAGATGAGAGCGTCAGGATTTCAGCCCTGCGTGTGGAGCAATCACGAAGGGTTTTGAAGTCAGTCAAGAGTTTTGGAACGCACCTCGGCTCCCAGCAATTTCATAATGGCCTCCAGAGCGAAGAGAATGACGAACATGATGAAAACGGGATCGGAAAAAACCGGGATCGGAAAAACTCTCACGAGAACGAGCAAGTGGTCCTGGGGCTCGAGTTCATTTGACTGTGCTGCGAGGTAGACGCAATTGCAGAAGATGACGAAGACGACGGAGAGCTCGAAGGCGCGATGTTGCACGATCTTGAAGCAGTAGCGACGAATGGCCCAGCCCCGAGGGATGACCGGCCGGCGCATGGGCACCATGCTCTGAATCAGCCGGTTCGTGTCGCGCCACAGCTTCTGGCGCTCCGTGAGCAATTTTGTCCCCGACATGATGCCGAACTGGTCGATGAACACGCCCACGAACATGCGCAGGATGAAGAACCCCCCGATGCACACGAAGACCACGAAGAAGATCGCCTGCGAGGCGTTCAAATTCTGCTGCGGCGACAGCCCGGCCCTGTTGGGCATGTCCATGGCCGGGTAGAGGAAATAATTGAGCCAATTGTCGAAGGTGGAGGCCACGAAGAGCGCCAGCATCGCCTCCCCGAAGGCATCGAAGTGGTAGGGCGGGTTGACCCATGTGCGAGGCGCGAGGAGTCCGATGTCGTTGTAGAACAGGCCGACGCACTCGGCGTGCCCCGGCACCGTTCTGTCGGTGCATGAGCGGAACCGATCGGCGTACAGCTGCATCCCGATGAGCGCGAAGATGGCGTACATGACGGCTGTGAACACGAGGACCTGAAACACGGCCGGCAGCGTTCGGCCCAGGGACGTCGTCAGGCTCCTCAAGCCCTTGAAGCGATTGATGTATCGAAATGGTCGACATGCCATCATGATCAGAGTGGTTTTCCCGTAGTACTCCACCTCGTGTAAAAAATTGTGTGTTTTCAGGTACATCATGTGGAATGTCAAGTTGACCAGGTCCACAATGTTGTAGGGATCCTCCATGTACGCTTCACGGGTCAGTAGAAATCCGTAAGCTATACTCTTCATAATCAGATCCAAGCAGAAAACCTGTCACCACCATCCATCCATCCATCCCGTTCACTCCTATGCCGTCAAATTGAATGCCACATAAAGCCCGACATAGTGCCCCAGGGCCGAGGCTATACAAATTTTTTTAAGTACAGTGTTTTGTTCGTCGTGAGCTAACTGCACGCAAGCGCAGGCTAATGTGTGCATTACCGAGTGCGGGAGGGGGGCCATGATGAAAGCTAGAAGGCATGCTCAGACGATGAACTGACCGATAGCTGCGCAGGGCCAACGATTGCTAGTGAAATTGCGCAGAGTGGGAAACAGCCGAGCAACAGCCTGAGCAGCGCTCAACAGGAGCAGTCGACGGCTTTGTTGGTATTTGCTAACATAGAATGAGAGGATCGCGCCAGGACTGCGCAAACAGAGAGAGAGAGAGAGAGAGAGAGAGAGAGAGAGAGACCATCATCTGATCGATCTCACAGCTGGCGACATGTATGTGGATGCAAGTACGCCTGGGAAGAAAACATTCAACGTGCGGTCCGTGAGAAATCAGACGAGGGGAGAAGAAAACCTGCGGGGATTATGATGATGGCAACAAACGGGGCACAGAGACTGCGGAGATGAATGGTGGAGATGATTACAAATCACCCACAGAAGAATGAGGATGTTGGGGGTTGAGCCTGATGGCTTACCGCGAATACTGCATAATCGATTGTTTGAAGTACTATAGCTGTTGTAGTCGGCTTCTCCGAATCTACAGTTGGGTTCAACTTATCTTTTTTTACGATGAAATATCCAAGAGGGTCAGTTTCAATGAGTATCACCAAACTGCAAGAGACCCACAGGACCTGCCACCATCGATACAGTTCAGTTTCGATGACCTTGGTGATGAACACTCTGATCTCGTCGCCGGGATTGAAAAGGAAAAGGGATCTCTCATTCATCCACCATGGTGCAGCATGGTCTTCAACCAGGGGCACGCCTTCAAAGTCGGACAGCACGAAGGAAACTCGACCACTAGAACCTGACCTTTTCAACGTGGAAGTGGCGCTGCTCGTTTGTGGGGCAACTTTGGGCTTCACCTCTTCTACCTGCTTGACAGCAGCGATACCAGCTTCCACCTTTTGTTGGTCATCTACGACAGCTAGTAGTGCAGACTGCAGGAAAGTTCTGTTACCACCGTCCCCGGCCTCAGCCAAACCAGCTCCGGTGAATCCACTTCTGATGTAGATTTTGTCAGACGCATGGCTGAATCTGCGACGGGAGGTTGGCTGAGCGGCAGTTCCTGAACTGAATTGCAAAGCACTGGCGCTGCTTCTTCGTCGACGAATTCTATCTTGCAAGTCTGCTGCTGTTTCCGAATCTCCTGTCTTCGCAGGTCCTGGCGGAAACTGTAACCCTTCAGAGACATCTCGTGTCCTTTGGTAATCCGCAGACACAGAGCCTGGTATGTCTAAAGCTGAATGTGAAGCGTCGGTTGAAGTTCTTGGGCCTTCGGAGCTGCTGGCTGCTTGCGCAGTAATGTCTGACAGTGTGCGCACTTCGTCTTCTTCGTGAGGTCGTGAGATTGATGACGGGAACTTCAGGGACAGACTCCGGACTTTGATGGAGGTCATTCGGCGCTTTGCTGACTTCATGTTTTCTATAGCCCCAACGATCCAGTCCGCACCTCTCGTAGAAGAGGTACGATGAAGATGCCTCACTTGTAAATATTTGAGGTGATCTCTCTGTTCATAAAAAGCACGCATGACCAACAGTTCCGATGTGTTTTACTCAAGGTGACTAATAGTCAAATTTTTGCAACTTAGTTGATTTGCAATTTATGATAGTTGTGAGTAGTAGTGGGTTATCTGATATCAGACAAATTCCATTGTCTAGATTTATCCTTAGTTATGCTGTGTCAGTAAGGTTGGCAAGTATGCTAGCCACCACAAGTAAACTCCTGCTAGATCTTATAACCTCATTTCTCTGATTATATCGAGATATACTTATTCTACAAAACACTTGCTATGCTGTCTGTATTAATTTCTTCTTAAGCTCTTGCATTGACGTGTATGATCTCATAATAAGTTGAAATATTAATTATTCTGATTTCATCTAGAGATATGATCTGAAATCAGAATAATTAATATTTCATCTCTAGATGATTTTTCACACCGATCATAAGCTTGAAATATTATAAATTGCCACTATCTTTTGTGTGATTTTGTCCACATTAAGGATGCTAGTTGATACTGTCCATGCATGTACGAACTGATATACTGTATACTAGTGCAATAATCTCATGAGTGTAGAAAACGCTCAGACCATGGATCTACCTGTTATAATGTGGGAAGTCAAAGTAGCGCTTCACCTTACCTTTTGGATAAGTTTCTTTTGGTAGTCCGTTAGCTCCGTTTCTTCAAGAATAGTCGCAATAATCAGATTGAGGATGACAATCGCAGTTAACAGGTAATAAAATACAAATAATGGCGCAGCGACCCAGCTGATAAAACGACCGCACTTAGTTAGTGATTGCCAAAATAGCACATGTACTATTTCCACAATCCTGAAATATCGTACAACCGAAATTATGAGAAAATTTCTAATTTGAAAATAGACTTAATTATATGATCCATAAAGATGCTACAACCGAAAATATGAGAAAATCCAGCCGTGTCTGATGACAATAATGCTTCTTAGCTAACAATCTTGTCTTAGGTAGAGATTGTTGGAACCTCTGTACTTGATATGAGTATAAACTTGTAGCCATGCAAGATCTTAGAATACATATCACCCTCAGTCACTACAGAATTACGCATGTCACTTTGTCTTGCAAGCTTATTCAAACTTGCACCTCAGCCTAAGGTCGGAGAGCGTCGCCATATTAGAAGCAGCGCAGCTATCGAGGAAGGTTTCAGAGATACCAAACCGGGAGAAAATGCCATCTCTCATTAAAAAACTCTTGTGAGATGAAAAAGGCGTGTCAATCCCCTTCCAAAGACATTCCCCAGTTTACATCTTCCCATACTATTGTTACTGTACGTTTTTCTGCCTGTCGGTTTAGGTCTTAGCTTATCATTTGCTTAATATCTTCAATCCTTATATATGGGTAGTACGAGCAACCGAGAATAGTGACAGCGTCCGTTATACACCTGGTCCTATTCTTCCATGAATTCAACAGCCAGCGGCTGGACCTATTCTACTTAAGTATGGTGTCTCCGGACAGGTCTCATGTCTAAACTCTATCTTCAGAAAATATTGGACTAAACTGGCCAAATGGCTGGCGCAGGGTACCTGTTTCTGACTTCGGGGCGCATCACATTCCACATCTGATTCACCCAGCTTTCACCCGTAGAGACTGAGAACCAGAGGAGAGCTGCTCCCAAAAATGTATCATGATTAGTGCGGGGCTTCTCGAAGGTATCAGTGGTTTCCAACTCACCACCCCATAGCTCCATGCTGAAGACCGAGAAGATGATAATTATCATGAGAAGAAAGAAATAAACGCTCGCCAAATTCCCCACGCTTCTGAGAATGCATGCCTGTTGCATCCACAGAACGAGCTCAGCCAATAAAATACAATAAAATACTGCTGCCCAGAGCTAGTGAATCAGATATATATGAGAACTCGATCTTATGGAGGGATTCTTTCTTCCTTTAAACACCCCACCGGAAGCCCTGACTAAAACTCGACCTTAAATGGAGCATTGAGCTTGTACGCAGAAGTAGAATTTGGAACGAAAGAAAAATGTTTGTTTGTCTTGAAAATTCAGTATGGACGTGCCAGTATTGGGGCGCTTTCGCCGTCTCTCTTTGTTTTCTTGGTACGTTTGACGTAAAACCACCGCAGCATTCGGACCGGCAAGAGGTTGGGAACTTTGATCTCGTTAGCTGGATCACGACTGAGGATGTGTCTTAAAGTGATTAGAATGACCACAAGGTCAACAAGGTTCATCCCTGCACATTTAGCCGATTGGTATCAGCAGACCACCTTGAAAGACAAGAAAAGAGAATCATCTGGACGGGCGAGTAAAGATGACAATTGTGGAGCGTGTGTTTTACACAATTCGACGTACTGTAGAAGTGGAATAGTGGGATGAGAAAAAAGCCTTCAAAGTATTCTCTTCGTACAAACACAAATGATCTTAACTAAACCGTCATAGGACAGACAAATATTCAGGTATTTATTGCAGATGCAAGTCAGAACATCCTACGTTCATCGGCAAACCCATATATGCCGCCTGCACAGAAACGCACGGCCATCTCCACAATAAAAACAGTCGTCAGGGCTCTCTGCATTATAGCTAACACCAGTTAAGGTCTGCTCTCTTGTCCTTGACCTCTGATTACTTCAGAAAGTGTGGGTCTCAAAACTAGCACAAAAAACCATTTAAATTATAAATACACTCCTGAAGTGTCCGTCGGGAAGAAGCATTCATAAACAGCCGGTTGTGAGTTTAATTATGAGACTCTCTTCCCTCTTTATCTAAATTCCAGGTCTACAAATTGTTCGGAGTGCCTTCAGCTTTTGACCAGTACATCGATAACCCTTGAAAGCATGTCCCGACTGCATGGTAATGAAACGCTTAAGGGAGTTATAAGTAGTCCTGTTGTGGTTAAAGGCATAATCTAGATTGTAAGACAGTTTCTCTCGTCGCTCAGGACACTTCTATAAGTAATGTGTTTCATAGATTGTGCTAAAATCCGGAATGTGGAAATCACATTAGATAGCATATCCAACATCGTAACTGCAGAGCGTGGTGCCTGCAACACCTCCCCGGATCGCTCCACCGAATGCAGGAGCTGGGTCAGTTTGGAAAGCATCAGAATTCAAAGTACTATTTTTTTAGTACTTCAGGATTTCAGAACTCTGGACAAAGTTTTAGTACATCCTTATGCAAGAGTCACCATGCATCTGTCCAGTTAAGTGCAAACGAAATTTTCGAGAATCAGAAAGCTATTTAGGGACATCGTCATTCCATTGGGTGCTGACATTGCAGTGTCAGCCAATGCCGCACAGGAGTTGATACACTGCTCTCAGACTCTCTGCTTAAAACCCATAAATGAAAAGTGAGAACATTTCGCGCTTTATGCATTTCGCGCTCCATTCAATCCATGCAGTGTCTACTAACTTACACCCGTGAAGCCTAAAGAGCTTAATAAACTCTTCTTAACCCACTACATTACCCCGACAGACAATAATAGCAACCACATTTCTTACAAAGTACTGCATACATGAAATGCATGCGAGGCATAAGTGTGAACTTTTCATTGTTTCTGTGTTGTCGCAAGGTTGACAGACATGGAAAGGATACTTATGGCGTTGAAGTGTTTCAGGGACATTTTCACACTGCAGCTAGCCAGCGCTGCCGTGTTGATCGAAATGAGAATTAAAACGGCGTATACAAAAATCTTGCTGTGCACAAGTATCCAGCATTTTTCGGATACTTTCTGCTGCCAGAGTAGTGTTGTCACGGACACTTTTCGAGAAATAGAACGACCAAAGCTCCTCCCACGGGAAATGCTGAGGCTGAAAGTAAACCGGCGTGATCCCGATGCATCGTCGGGAAGGACATCTGAAAAGTCGTCAATCCCTGTAAGCGCAAAGCTGCTGATGCGTCTCATGAAAGAGCCTGGATCTCGCCAGTCCACAGCTTTTCTCAACCTTGAGCTTTCGCGGCTTAACGATTTTGAGAATTTGTTGGTCAGCAATGAAGTCCTTAGCCTGAAGCGTTGCGTCCAGCTTAGTTTTTCATCATCCTTCTTGATAACATCCTTCAGCAAAGTAGCCATTTCGATTGCATTGGAGAAAGAATATGCCTTTTCTCGTCGGTACTTTCGTAGGAGCATCTAAAAATGAAGCACCACGGAGGGAAAGTAAGGAAGTATGTACATATTCAACGGTCCGTCTGTAAGCATAAAATCATCTCGGAATGCATTGTGTAAAGCAATGATGGACCCAAGGTTGATCTCACTGTAAACCTACGGTGATGATATTATTTACAGTGAAGTATATCATCCTCTGTGAGCTAAACCGATAGAAGTAAGATATGAAAGAGAAACATTGAGTGACTAAAGCGTGCATACAACTCGAAATCAAACCACGTTGTAAGAACCCAGTAGGAGGTGAAAGCCGAACGATTCGTGCTCATCTCATCAATCACCATGTCCATAAACGAGTACTGAAACAACTACTCAGATCGACGATAGAATGCTATGACAAGACACCACAACTTCATCGGCGCTCATAATGACGTCAAAGTAGTTGGGCAAGAGAAAGTGTGCGTCTTCCCAAGTTTTAAAGATGTGAACAGTTTCTTGTGTTTGGTATATGCATAAATTAGCAAACTGATTGCTATAACTCTACAAGTATTCCAAATGAGTGGCAAACACTTTTGACAGAAGATGGAAGCAATGCCATGCAGTATGTATATTTATATATATTTCCAAGAATGTCCAAAGACCGAAATATCTATGTGATGTAAATAAAGATAGAAATATGATCAGTGCTCACTAAATTGCAAAGTTTGACGATCCTCCAGAATATGCTCTTGTCTTCTCCACTATCAAAATTAGTCGTTGAGTATCATGCACTAATAGTTATACAGTATACAATGGCGGAACATGATCACGAAGGCAGATCTAGGATAATGCTAGCGTCAACAGACCTTCAACTTCTCATACTAGTACGGAAAGACATACCTGATGCTCTTGCCTCACTCTGAGAAAGACACCACTGAAGGCTGTAATGTATATGTTGACCAGAAAGTAGCCCCCTAGGATAATTATGCAAATGAAATATGCGTCCGTAGCTGTCACAAATACGCGAAGAAAGTAATATCCGAGTTACTAAAGCAAGCATGTAAAAATGCCATTAGCAGAGCGGTTAGAAGAAACTCTTACTTTTCGGATGAAAATAATATTAATCCACACCTACCCTTTGAATCAACACCTACCCTTTGAATCAGCAGCCTTTCTGACTCCGTTCATAATCAAAGACCATCCTTCGAAAGAAAGAATCTGTGAAACGATTGAGGAAACGCATTTCAGCTGACATATTGAAAGACGAAATGCCCTTTAGCTGACCTGACTTCTGCTGCAAAGCCAAAGTTACTCCAAGCGTTATAAGTAGAAAAGCTGAGAGCACACTATATATATACATTCCAAAAACATTTGTGTTCTGTTGGCGATATGTGTGAGTGGCTAGTTAGAGCCGTATGTGAAATCGGCATATAGCCAGATTCCCTGCTACCAATGTCGGACCAAGTTCTAGACCTGCCTGGCAGAAAGGCGGGCAAAATCCGGCACTGATTTCAAGAATACTGAGCTGTTGAGCGAGAGATTTCTCTAGTGTTAACATGGAGCATCCCATCATAGGCGCAAACCCCGCTTATGCTCTCACGTTGTTTAAGTCGGGGGGATTGCAAACGGTGAGCACAGTAATATTTCTACATATGCGCGAAGAATGAATGTGATCTTCGCGAGCGGTGGAGAAAGAAAAATACAATAACATTTTGCCATGTGGGGAGAAAGTAGCGTCCGTGATAACTAAGGTCACGATAAGGTAGTCACGGCAACCCCTTTTACGAGAATGTCGTGCATTCTTGCAGCTCCATGTACTTTATGCGTCTCACTTTTTTACTCATCGCCTATACCATGACATGAATGTGAGCCAAGATTCTGGTCTGACATTGAAGGGTGAAAACCAGTTGAAAGCACAGGTCGACATAAATTCGAGTATAAAGAGCAGAAAGTGGAGCTAGAGCAGCGGTCTTGGTACTGAATATCGATGGCTAGTGATTCTCCTAACTAGAACATTTTTGGAATGAGCAATAGGTAATCTACCAAATCCTCTTCCCCTATTATCTGGAACAAATCGACCTTCAAAGATATCAACCACAATGTCAATTGCAGCTGTCAATGGGCGTCGGCTAAACCTAAATATTGGTACATGACAATGTGAGACCGAGGTTATGCTCCTGTTATTCAGAATAGACTTGTGAACTAGATGGCTTTCTCCTACCATAGCATATCAATTGTGCTCTCTTGCACTTTCCATAGGTTGGTCAGTTATTATCGAACCCATCGTAAACTTATGAGAATAATGCCCATGAGTTCATAATCCTCAGTGTAACACAACCCACCTTGAACCCGTGTGTAACTCGAATACAGTCTATCTTGATGCGACATATCAATCATCATCAACAACTCCTAGATGAACACTAACCCAATGAATGATCATCACAGTCTTGCATTGCGCTTCAAAACTTTACCCATGAGTGGGTCAACTGTACCCACCTATGGAAACCTTTCCATAACCGATACCCATCCATACCCATGAGTCCATCATTGGTATTTGGTTACACTTAATCCGAGAGCTCCTAATTATACTTAATTCAAGAGCTCAGGCTAACTCATACCCATACATTCCTTGTATCCATCCATTTACCAATGGGCATGGGTATTCATTGCAGGACTCTGATGATCATTGGCAAATTGCAAATCTGAAATTATTATTTTTTTGATTGGGCATTATTGTGTACAACTTGCAGCCTAGGTTTCAATTTGGAAACCCTAAACTAAACCAAAGTGGCATGTGAAGCGAAAAAGCAAATTAATATTGAACTTTCAGACCACGACGATTGAATAATGGAAAGAAAGAATATATATAACAAATTCGAACAGTTCGTGTAAAATTCTCGTCAACTTACTTTTGAATTCCATAGCCATTACATTACATACGGCGGAAATTTCGTGTGATTTGATTAATCTAGTTATAACACTGTTATAGCTTAAAAAATTAGTAGTTGATGGCTAAACAAAGAGATCAATTTTTATCCTTCAGGATATCCCTCGCCTCATTGTAAACAAATCCATCTATATCTGATGTATTTTTTTTCCAACTATCAGTTCATAAGCCAGTTCTCCGGTAACTATGATTGCAATAGATGCGAAGAAAGTAAAGCCGACTCGACTGAAAAGAATGTAAAGCGAATTAGGAGAAGGTCCAAGGTCCTGCCCATTCTATGAGCAGGCCAGAGGAGAGAAACAGCACCCACAGTTGAACTCTGAACGTTTCACTATTAGCTCATTCACACTTCCCTCCTTCCAGGGTTGCGAGATGTGAACGGCAAACGAGAATATCAGGAGAAGAAAAAAAATTGCGTCGTGTACCACAATTGGGTACGAATGTCCCTCGCTAAGGTAGCAAGGAGGTAGAACATAGAAATATGAGCAGTGGAAGCGACAAGGAACAACAGGCTAGAGAAGAAGTAATTTTGGCTGTACTATTGTTGCTTGTGATGCAAGTTTCTGTGAAAATCAAGAGGGTGCATAGCAGAAAATATAATCTACTTAAAGGAATGATCGATTTAAAATTGCAGTTGGGGTCTCACAGCCACAATTAAGACCAATGGGTACGAATGTCCCTCGCTAAGGTAGCAAGTAGGTAGAACATAGAAATATGAGCAGTGGAAGCGACAAGGAACAACAGGCTAGAGAAGAAGTAATTTTGGCTGTACTATTGTTGCTTGTGATGCAAGTTTCTGTGAAAATCAAGAGGGTGCATAGCAGAAAATATAATCTACTTAAAGGAATGATCGATTTAAAATTGCAGTTGGGGTCTCATAGCCACAATTAAGACCAGAGCAGGCAGTAAAGGGTCCTAACACAATCTACCAGATGGTCGGATTTGACCATGAGATAAATAAAAATGGATTCAATGAAGAGAATACACTGTTGGTCCACAGCCAAAATTGCATCTGGACCTTCAACCACAACGTGAGAGGAGTTAGCCCAGTGGCCTGTGAAAGTAATCTGATCCTTAATGGTGAAGGAATCAACATGGAAGTATCCAAGGTCGAAGCAATGGAGCGGCTTGAACCTGGCAAGGATAGGATGCTACAAGTGAACGCCACACCACAATTCTATCACTCCCTATCATAAACTGAGGTTCTGGCTTGGGATCAAGGACCTCTCGTTCCTTACAATAGAATAGTTCCCAATTAGTTTTGCAGTAGCTTCCGTACAATCGCCGTTGCTTGTGAGATGTCCTGTACCGCTGAGGAGTAGCATATGCAAACTTGAGCAATCCACTTTGGAAGTTCTGTTAATATTCTACCACTTACTCTATCTACCTCCGGGCCACTAGACGGGCACAAACTGTGTGAGGAAGTAGGCAAACCTGAAGGAGAGGAAAGATCATTGGTTACAACTCCATTGTTTCACTTGTCTCATAAGCCTCTCCCCACAACGAGCACCATGCAGTAGTTTGAAACCACACCTGAGCTTAGACACGGACGCTACCAGCACACGGGCGCTAACATGAATTGCAGAAGTGCAGAGTAGCTGCTTTCCGAGGAAAGGAGTAGGCGATTTGGAGGAACGTGAAACAAAATTTCATCGCAGTATAAACTTACTCCATGAGATGTATGGGCAGTAGCGACAGTCAAGCAGCAGGATTACAAAGAATCAGAGGTCTATTGATCGTGGACCTAAACACACAGACGCCGCACCCAGACTGAGCGGTACTGAGCGCTATATACAACGAAGAACTAGAGAGATCGGGCTGAAGGAGATGGATGGCAAAGAGAGAATTCGAGAGTGAAGAGATCTCTCGAGCATTAGATATTGTCCCCTGAGTTTCAAAACAAATCTCTATGACAGGTCATTCACGTTTTCTGAATCAAAGCCCGAGATTAATTGCCAAAAGGAAATGGGTGGCTTAAATTCTAGGATAAGGTAAGAGGAGAACACCTTGAACCCACTCTCAGTGTATTCTTTGTCTCTTATGGGTCACATTGTATCAGATTATGTAGAGAGGTTACCTATAATCTACCAACGTCTATCACAACATCATCACGGGCGACCAAGAAATATAAACTCATCTCACCGATGTAGGCAAAAATCAATAGTCAGCGACTATTGATTTGTCCTATATATTCTGCGAACTGAAAATGAGTCGATTATAATATGGTTGGTGATTGAGTTGGACCTGAATTAAAATAAGGAATGATGTCCCAACGTTGTCAAAGCCAGTCTTTCCATAATTTGGAGGGGGCTTGACCTGCGAAGCATCAAATTTTCTCAAACTTTGGACATATCTTTGCTGACTGCCGTAACAACGTGAGAATGAGATGCAAGCGCATATACGTTGACTCTTTCGATAAATACTCTACATCTTCTTATAGGTGAGGGAATATTCTGCATGAATGGCTTACGGAAAGAAACCTGCACAAAAACATACAAATTGAAGTGGAGAGGATAGAACGTGCTATGAGAACTTGTGATGTAGTAAATCGTACATTAGTTATGCTGAAGGACAGAAACTCAGGATGCAATTCATACTGAGCTCATTGTTCATTTCGTAGTACAGGAAGACAGACTGGATGCACAGAAGTGTCCCTAAAACATAATCACCTTCACTAAGGATCCTAATGTGTCCATCGAGTGCTTGCTGAATTGAATGGGTAACACTCCATTTGAAACTGCCATCTCCTATCTCACAAGAGTAATAATGTCTTCATGGAGAGGGGCTTCCGGATGCTGTACTTACACGACATCTAAGGCCTTGGTCGATTGGACAAGAATCGCCGTCATATTTATCTGTAGTGTAATTCCGAGCAATATTATTACAAAAAAACTCTGGATATGATGGCTCGTCATCGACTGTCCTCGTACACCTGTTATAACAGAATGTCAGAAATGATATATAAAAGACTTGCGGACGGCATGAGCTTCTTGACAGCCAAACTTGGTACTCAAGCCAGTTTATAAGTGATAAAAATGACTATATTCCTTGGACATCAAGAATCATAAATCTGAGGCCGTGAAGATGTAGCTATTTTCCACCTTTTCTCTATTCAGGATAAGAAATAGAATCTTAGAACACAATAAACTCGTTACACTTTAAGTGGCAGAAGGCTAGTGAAGACAGGCGAAGAAACTAGTAGTGACATTCGCCAATAGCGTCGACAAAATTTTTTTAGCAACATCACGAAGACTCCCCTGGATTTTAACAGAATCCCTAATCCCGATATTCAACCCATTTCTTTCTGACAGATTCAAGATTTGGTTACTATACCTTTGATCTAATAGGCCAGCAAAATACAATGTTCCCACTTCAGCGTAGAAGAAAAGAAAAATGCCCGAAAAAAGGAGCACCAACTCCAGAGTGCCAATGCTTTTGATTATGGCGTCTAAAATTGCCTGTACGTTAAAGGACAGGACATAATCTGAGCCACGGCGTTCATATACCACGAACGTAAGTCAAGGATGCGAAAGGAGGTATAACGGGTGCTAGTCAGTGAGGGTAATATGCTCAACTCTAATACCTAGTTGAAATTTCATATTTCAATATTGGATTTAAAGTCTCATCATAGACGTGCCTCTGCTGCTACAGCTGTTGTAACAACACTCAAACTGTCAATCCATGATATACTTATGGCATTTCGATGAATTCAGAAGTCCTCACTGAATTGGAATCCTGAAGGCTTTCGTAATTTACGCTTGGTGGTCACAATCTCATGGTGTATGATTTGGAAAAAGAAGTTCCTCTAACAAGTTTAGCCAACAAAGAGCAACTTCATGAGAAAGGAAAAAAAAGAATTAGTGAACTCACAATAAGATTACCAACAAATGCGAATTGACGAAGGATAAGCAGAGCTCGGAACAGGCGCAATACTGCGAGACGGAGGAAGGTGTCTCGTTTCATAATATATATCCTCCCAATATGAACCCTGTTTTTTTTTCGCCAATTTTTTGATCAAATGAACATTAAGTTCAGTTCTTTCAGAATATTTTCTTCGTAAAATCTTGTGCAGGGTAAACATATTTCTTTCAGGAATGAAGTTACAATACTTGTGGAACTTTCCTGCTCTTGATAGAAGCTGTAAACGTACCAGGAATCAACAATAATGATGAAATCCATTCTGTTGTAGTTGTTTCGAAGGAAAGCGTGAGGACTCTTATAAAAGCCTAGGCATATGATCCGGGCAATGCATTCCAATCTGAAATAAGTAAACAACAACTTATGATTAATAGTGGGAGATTCCATCAGAAGGGAATCAGCCTCCTTTTAAAGAGTCATATTCCAGGAGTCGATGTGGATAGTTAGTTCATACTCTACACTTGAAATATATTATCTATTACTCCAAATAATCTCTACTCTGAATGGAACCAAGCATTATCATTGGAAAACTGAGAACAAAAGATCTCTTTGGATGTCAATTTGGAAGGGTATGTTCCAAAGTAACTGAAGATACCTAACCGTAAGAGGCTTTTTTGGTAGATGTGTCAAGATGAACACAATCAATCATATACGTCACCAAAAGATTGAAGACTAATCATGTTTTGAAATGGCGTTTGAGCGGATAACCTTTGCATATACTTTATTCAACATTCAAGTTTTCATCCACAAACTAGATTATCAAACCTTTCTTGTTTTGTCGGATATCTAGTAACCTAACAAAGTTTTGACATAGACTCATGATCGTGATCTGACTAAGCTTGTTCTCATGCACATCATTCCATATATGCTCCAACTTTCTATCTCACTTTAAAAAAATTAAAATCAAATCACAGATTGATTCCATTGTAATCCCTGAAGTCTACTCAAGAACAATAGAGCTTATAATACAACTCTAAGTGAATAATTATATCATCTTCTATATAGCAATAAGTAAAACACAGGATACTTTGCTAACTAAACAAGACATAACGAAATCTGCTAATTTGCTGCAAAAAATTTGAAGTTAATTTCACATCAAAATCACATACGCTTCAAATTTGCTAGCTTGTCAATTTGATATTTACATTACTTCATTCATAGTTTGTTATGAATATATAGCCTTCCAATCATAAAAGAACTAACGTAAATCAATTTCTTTATAAAAAACAGAATTATGGAATTAAAATATACAGGCCATTTTATATTTGATTAACAATAAGTCTTGAATCTAAGTTCTTAAATACTTGCATGTTCCTCTGAAATTTCTCATATCCAGACCTTGTTACTATATGTATATTATAATAATCGTCACATGTTTTCCAAGATACAGATATCACTATCTTCTTCTAATTATACCACAAAAATAAATCTTCTTCAAAAAATTTGGTCTGCATACGCAAATATGAAATTTTAAGAGATCTATTTCGAATTTTCAAGCTCTTCTTTGCATTCTCTTTTAGCAATTAAGATATGTATATATATACATGGTTATCATGACATCTCAAAATATTTCTAGCAAAATATGAGAATAAATTGATAATTAGCCAGCCATATACAGAAAAAAATTTCACTGCTAGATGACTAACTTCAAAAAAGACTGATTTCTCTTTTATAAAATTAATTTCTTGTGTTGTTTTTTTAAATACCACTTATTAAATATTTAAGGATTCTAAAAAAATTTTACTTTGAAAAAACAAGAACAGTGATGTTTCAAGTTGCACTTAGAAACAAAATCAAAACAGTAAGGTCAGTCAGGTTTATCAGATCCAACAAAAAGTCATCGTAAAAAATTAAACTAAGCTTGTTTTCATTTTCAAATTGAGATTATTTTATTTTAGTCATTACAATATAAACTTTATTTTTATCAACAGAAATATAAAATATTCTATACATATCCAACACTTTTTTTAGCTGATTGATCAAAACAGACTTCAATTCCTTATACGGTATCATTTGAGAACTAAAATTTTTTCTCTCTTATTTATAAAATTTGTCCCAAAAAAATTATCCATATTATTCTTTCACTCTTCTTTTGATCGCCATTTGTAGGATGGCTTATATATCTATAAGAAGGCGAAAAGATGAATATAATCATCGTTAAATAAATTTTATCTATTAATTTATTTAATACAGAAGCTAAGACTAAATTCAACGATTTCTTTGCAAAGTATTAGTTCAGAACTGCTATTACAATGCAAGCAAAGATGATTGAATATATTTAAAAAAATCAGATGTAGAAGTTAAAATGCAAGTTTCTTATTCTAGTTGAACTTTGAAATTATTAGGCAGCAAATTTGGCCTTATATAAATATTTAGATCTCATTCACTATGATTGACTAATAGTACGGGTGCTGTGACTCTCATATGCAAAAAACACATCTCAACCAAAGATGGCTTGAAAGTTCTACGAGAGCGATACAAAACTGAAATGATCAGTTTTGTTGTTAGTAGATTAGAAATTTGCAAGCTATTGCCTCACGAGAATGATACAAAAGTGAGATGATTAGGTATATTGTTAACATATTAGAAATCTGCAAGCAGTGGTGAAACTGTGTAGGTTCCTCATAAGTATTTAAGATATTCCCAAATCAGGAAAAAAAATCAGTTTGGAAGTTTTCTACATTAAACATAAATTTTGATATAGGAAGTTAGAGAATACAAGATAAGTTTCTCATAATTAAAAGATAAATCTGCATTGAGAAAATCTAATTTGTTTCATATAATAATAGTGATGATTCCACTTATTGATAAATAAACATTATTTTAGAAGTATACAGCTGGCAGTTAGAAGGAGTCGATAGTAAGATCGTACCGCGTTGTGGATATTGTGAATATCTTACATCATAGCAAGGGCGTGGCAACAATATATTGGAACGACTGACCCCAAATTGCTCTTACAATGTACCCCATATCGTTGTAGACGTGGCAATGGCATAAAAATTGAATCTCAATAACACAATCTATATGAGATAATATATAGTGTCCAGAAATGAGTGGATTGGCACATAGAGTCCTTCAGAGGTAAATGATGTTGAGAGACTCATAGATCGAAAGCTTCTACACATGAGACGAAGAGACAACTATCATAAGGAGGCTTGATCTTAGATCAACTGAATGCACTACATAATATGACTGATTTGTGTGGATCGTAACGAGGGTGGAACCAAAATATGATACGCCAACACTTTAGAGTGAGATAAAACTACGGTAAGTACAAGATCGAAAGCTATCTTCTCTTCAAAGAAAAGGTGAATGGACTATTAAAAGATGACCAAAAAAATATAACAAATGAAACTCATCCCAGAAGTAGAAAGTACAAAAGAATAATATAAGAAAAGAAGCACTATTTTCAACAGTACACCCAATATAAACTCACTTGTTGTTTTCTTTAATATGGATGCGATGGATATTAAAGAGGTGACTGATACAGAAAATGTCACTATACGACTTTTTTTTTCGGAAACAACAAAATGCTTAAATAAAAGGTGCTCTTGTCTCCGTTCTTCTGCATAGAGAAGATAAACTCATAAACTTCCTCCTTTTCATAGAGTTTTGTATGCATAATTGGGCACTTGCGTTGTAGAAAATCCACAAATTATTTATTATCCCAACCCTACTAAGTTGTTAGAGAAATGATGTATAAGAATGAGTTCACATTAAAGAGGAAAGAAAACTCTTCTAGAATCGATTCTTACCAAGAAGAGCGGATATGTGGGCAGAAAATTGTAAGACAGCTTGTTAAGACTTTCTAATTGAGCACATGAAAAGCGACGACCAGAAACTGAGAATGTAGGCAATAATTCCCAGCTTTGAAGAAAAACCCAGATGTTAAGGATGTGACTCCCCTGAAAGTTTGACTACACACATCAAGCTCTGAGCCACGTACGTGTATATTGTAGTAAGAGCAATGTCTGCATTGATGAGGGCCTGTTGGGAGGCACGAAAATTTCCCCAATTATGCTCAGCTTTCATGGCAAGAACGGTGACGTGGCTGAATATGACACCAAGAAGCAGGTATTCCGTTTTTCTTCAAGAAAATTAAGGAAATTGCCTAGAACATTCGGATACGAAAGAACTCCGCTCTCCTTTCAACAGATTAAGGAAACCAGCCGTGACCTATGGGTGCAAGGGGACTGGAATGATCGCCTATCATGCCAGGACCAACTGTGTTTAATTTTGACCGGAAAATTGAAACAAATTGCATATTTTGGCTGATCATGAATGATCCTGTTCATGATCATTCGTCAAGTGGTGGATACTCATTATAGATCATCCCAAAAAGGGCAAGCCGCGTTTCGTTTTGTATGCTCAGAAAGCCCAACGAATAGCCGTCCAATGTTGCCCCTGTGCCTATAGGGCTAGTCAAGGACTTCTTCAGTATTATCTGAATTGATCAAGAGAGAACGGGCACGATATTAATATCTGATCAGAATTTCTGACAAAGACAACCGAACTCAGCACAAGCTTGCGAAGTAGTTTTAGGAACTTCTGTTAGCATCTTCTTTAACACCATTATCGGACATCGAGGGAGTTGAACCCTAACACATTCATTTGCACAAGTGCATGTTAATTTCATCACGCGCTGGCAGGGACTCAGCAACCACGAAGAAAAACAGTGTTGCGTAATGAAGAGTTCAGAGCTAGGACACATATACATTGCGCTTTTTCACAAATTCATAAGCCTTCCTCCACCTATGAGCTGCCAAGGTCTGTGGTTTCTTTGTCTGCCCAAGATGCGTAAAATCCATAGACATTATTTCTTCAATTCTCGTTTTAACATGCTGGGCGTCTTTCTTGCTCTCTGAAGAATCTTTCCTGTAACACGAAGATATCGGCTGGTTAGTTTGGATCTTTTGCATTAATCTGGCATCAGCACGGGACTCCGACGCATTCCGGTTCTTATATTGTTAAAATGAGTCCGCATAGCAAGGAAGCATGTATATTCGAAACGCAAAGGTTGCGTAGGTTTCTGGTGTCGACAATGTATACTAAAAATCGGAAGCCCACTGCATGTGTTCCGAAGGAGGCAGAAATCTGAATCATAAAACACAACGAAGTTCTACGTTCTCGCGTATTTCATATGTTTTTCATTGGAGTAATCAAATATTATTTCGCACAATAGAGTACCGAAAGGAACACATTCCCAGTTCAGAACAGCAGCCATATGCGAATAGAAGGAACCGAAAATCACACTCAGAATATTCACTTATAACTTTTCAATTTACTCTTTCCTCTGTATCCGCACAAGTCCTTGTACACCTGTTCGCAGCGCAGCAATACTGGAAGTGTGACAATAAAGGAAGATATCCAAAGCCATTTATTTGTCAAGAACTGAATACTGGGCGTAATTTTAGCACAGTACCCCATTTGGGGCAGTTGCAAAGCAGTCCAACTACACTCTAGACATTTCTGTGTGTAGGATTATGCATGACACATACATGAATTGAATCAACCTACAGAGAATACGGATCCAATTTTGTTGATCAGTCAAAAAATATGGAGAGTGTATGGATCTGTACTCGTCCGCCTTCGATCATACAATTGTCTTATTCTTATTTTACTATATACGTTTAGTTAAGTTGGTCAAGACGATGTGATTTTTCCAACACACTGAAATTTATCCTTTAATAGAAATGGCAGCTGAGCGCGTATTGTAAGGCATTTGTCGGAGCTACGAGTGCTGAGAATTGCCACATATTTGGTCGTGATAATAACTACGATAGTGATAGCTTGACTTCCGTATGGACGTCGGCACCTTCGATAATATTTTTAGCGGAAGGATATGATTACCTGCTGAATGAGTAATGCAGAAGCAGACAGTTTGAGGAGGTTCGTACCCAGTGGCAACGTATCCAGGACTCGCCGTACTCTCAAGTCCAGCTTTTATTCCAGCTCTGTATCCAGATCCTGTGCCATCCTCAACCCCGATGATTCGCTCACCTGTATGTTCAGATGCGCCCTCCGAGTGCCCGGCACTTCCCTCAATTCCGAAAACGTTTTCAGACCTGAATTCCGCACTGCCCTCGTCACTGATTCCAGTCGAGGTCTGGGCCCCAGGTTCTGATTGTATTGGAGACTTCGACGCAGAGCCTGTCTCCATCAACTCGGTAGCGACCAAAGATTCGGTTATAACGTCAACCGTGTTCGCTGCGTGTTCAGCGAGCGCATCCGCTGAAATTCTGACGACGTCTTCGGGGGATCTCCGGATCTCATCCCCCGATGACTCACCGGCCTCCGACATCGTTCCTCACAAGAGCAGCGCGTCAAGAAAGCGAAATCGACGTGCACGTGAAGGAACTCGTCCTCGACTCCAACTCGGGATGCGCAAGATTACTGTCCTCTTCGCCGGAAGATTCTTCCATGTTCGAAAATCGAGGACGAGGTTGGAACCAGAGCGCGGAGGAGAGCAGCGATCGGTGCAACTCCACCGCCACGCGCACAGGTTCGATCTCTGAACGGCTTTCTTTCAAAAGGGACCCGCGCCCCGATCGTCGACGAAACAAGAACGCCACTCACTCAAGCAAAGAACGTTGCAGGAGTGGCAGTGGTTGCTCGTTCGCTCGGTAACTCGGTATTCGGCGAGTTCACACTCGAACAGACTTGGCTACGGTGCCTTTTCGCAAGCCAGCAGCGCCGCGCTGCAACTAGTACCGCGAGTTCGCAACAACTTCGGTCCGAGAAATCACGTGACCTGTACCGGAAGCTGAAACGACTCCGCTGTTCTTCACATCCGCGGCAATGCGGCATCAGCTACGCCGTCCGCCAGTCCACAGACTGCACATCCATCCGTCACATCGTCACAGTCGATCTCGGCTCTTTCCTCTCCGTCGCGATTTCATCCCATGCGTCCCATGCATGTTCGGCCAGACAAGGATCGCTGTAAGGAATCGGGACCCGACGATTTTTGCTATTTAATTCTTGATTTGGTCCTTATTCCCAGATTTCATCTTGCATAATTGTGGCGGAAGAAAAATGTGATCCGGATTCAGTCATAAGGGGACTGCATGCTAGAACAACCCCAAACGTATATCCACAGTCATACGGTCACTGTCGTGAGGGTATCTCCTTTGTCACAGTCGTGTGTGAACAGTTCAGCCTTGAGCGTGCACCCTCTAATATTCAAATTCGACACATGGTTAGTCAATATGAGACTCGTGTCAGCGAACACATTACCGGCCCGTTAGTCCGCGATATCATCCACCCAAAATCTACGCAACGAGCTCAGGCACACAAAGAATCCATGGCAGAGTGAAATTGCCCGTTGCTGCGCTCACCTTGCCTCGCGCTCACCCCACCTCGCCTAATATCCGTTCAACTTTGCATCAAGCAACAACCACTGAAACGATGCTGCTGTAGCTGCTATTGCATCCTTCTGCTGGACAGGTAGTACAGATCGAGGTGATGAATCAACTCCAGTAATCAACTTCAATAGGATGAATCAACTCCAAAAATCAACTTCAATAGGATGAACCAACTCCATTGTAACTTGTTTGCGCAGTCCTTCCTTATCAAAGTTACAAGCCGATTTTTGGGATATCAGTACTTTCTTTAGTTGATCGGGACAAATTGTTTCTTATTAGTAAACCAGTGCATGAAAATTGGAGAAGTCAAAGACCAGTTAGTTATGGCTTCAAATGATAGGTTGTTGAAGGGAGTGTAATTTTGAGCAGGATGGGATGAGGTAGCCAGTAGATCCTGATCTTGGCAAACAATTGTGCAACTCTTGTCCTAGCAGGAACTAAGAAGAGTCATTTATAACGCAGCTCTATTTGAAGGATTGTGTTGCTGTGTCTCTTCTCCTGCAAAGTTTTGTATTCGAAAGTCTTGTCAAATCAGTTCAATTCATGCATTTGATTACAGAGACATGTCTTCTCTCCAAAGCTCTGCATGCGCAAGATGTGGCTTCAAGAAATATGGATGACTAGACATAATAATCAGATAGTCGAATTGACGTACTCTTGATCTATGTTTTATGGTCCGATTCCTTAAGGTTTCGCGATCTGATGGGGAAGGGTGTTTGACATTATACTAATCAATCGATTCGTCTTACTCGATTGATTGAGACGCTTATAGCTTTTAAAGTCTCTGTCGTTAAGCGAGCATGAGATCTACATTCTGTAAAAGCTTAAACATAATAGTAATTGATTTGTTATCACGTGCGCATGAATTTGTTGCACTAGCAAAAAAATAGCTTCGATCTATTGACTCTAGGGAAGTTGATGTCTGCAAACAACCGGACTATGAAAATATTCAAAGTGAAAATTCCAACAAATCGATGAGAAAGATTGCACAAACATGTTGAAATTGTTCAATATGTGCGGTACATTCATATCCGAAGACGATATTAAGCGCATATCAGAATTAATCTCTACATTTGAAGGCATTTGAATAATACAACACAATCTCTACAACTATATTCACTAATTTGAATATTAAGTTTTTCACATGAAACGTCAAGACTGGTCACAAATAATAAACAAATGTTTGAATTATTCTATGATAAACTATTTCAACAAGAAGCAGACTCAATATCAACTTGGCCATTGGTGAATAATCCATGTCTGACCACACGAACAGATAAAGACCTACAAGAGCTAACGCAAAGCTGCCCTTCGAATCAAACATCTCTAAACCACGTATATAAATCACAATGATCTCAGCAGGCTCTAATTGCATACATCTTGAATCAAATGACAAATTCTACTGCCAGATATTAGCTCATTTTCACCTTGAGCTTCAACTTACAAAGCATTCTCTCATTTGAAGTACCTAGCCATCAGATCCATCATAAAAATGGCCGTCAAACTTGCTGATAGCTCCTCCGCACGTCGGAATTCCGCCTCGCACTTACCCTCAATTTCTGAAATCTTGTTACGAAATTCTTCTTCAGCCATCTTTGCCTCTGCGATTTTGCCCCGAAGTTCTTCGGCGATACGAACTTCTTCGGCTCTTCGGGCTTCCAACTTAGCAACTTCTTCAACATGATTCCTTTATCGTTTCTCTGCAGTTATGATCAATCGCTCCGATCGTTTGACTGCCTCATTGTCCGATTTCTTAGATTTCTCCAACCTCGCGAGCAAATCCACTGTCACCTTCTGTCCATTCTCGTTGGAGATGCGAAGTCCTCCACAGGTTACTTCTAATTCTGCACATTGTCCGGATTCCTTTGCCAAGTTCAACTGCAATACTTCGCTCTCAATCTCCTTCTCCCGAAGTTGGGCTCCTGTAATGTCTGTGGTAACCCAGTTTTTGTTTTTTTTCCGGAATTAAAACATTTTTGAATAGTAAGTTCCGCGGTAGCAGTTGTAAATAATAATCAATACGTGAAAACAGAGTAAAAAGGGAATCTCGGGGTCTAGGGGAATCGAGGGCAGTCTAGGGATTTTGGGCTTAGGCCACGGTCGGGCGTCTTGGACAGAACGGACGGTTCATGCTGCAGGATACTCTTTAGACGCCTTTTGCAATAGCTTCTTGGGCTGAGGAGGATTCGGCTGAAAAGCCTTCGGCTCAAGCTCCTCGACGGAGGCGCTATCGCTGAAGAGGTACGAAGTATATATCACGGAACTCCTTTGTCGGTGGGCTCGACCTCGTCACTAGACTTTGCCTTCGGCTGTAGACTCCTTCAACCAAAGCACCTTCGGCATTAGCGTCTTTGTTGCTAGCGCTTGTAATAACCCATGTGGTAACCCACTTTTTGTTTTTGTGCGGAATTTAAAACATTTTTGGAAAACAGTACCGCAACAGCCGTGTAAATGGTAATCAGTACATTTAAATAGAGTGAAGATGGATAATCGCGGGTCTCGTATGATCTCGTAGAATCCAGAAGTTGGGCGCAATGTCCGGAACAGGCGCCCCGACCTGAACGATCAATTCTGAAGGAGATCTCCTTCGGCGCAAGGCGCATAATCCGCCTTCGGCGATCCGCCTTTGGCGCTAGGAAAATCCCTCACAACTTATTCACTTCACAACGCCTTGACTTGGTTAGGGTTTTGTGGAAGAGGGCTCGACACGCTCGTTCTAACGAGCCAAAGAACGCTTGGAACGGATGAGGACTCAAGGAGTTCTGATTAGCGGAAGATACGTAGACGGACGCCTTCGGCGGAAGGGCTAGGTCGACGGACGAGCCGCCTTCGGCCCTAGATGTTCGCCTTCGGGGGTGAAAATCTTCGTACAGCGCCTTCGGCGCCAGCGCATCAAGATTAGGTAAGTGACTTCGGGGGTAGCAATTCCGTACGGTCCGCCTTCGGCCCAACGCCCTCGGCGGTACGGACATGTGCGCCTGCGGCGGAACAGAGCTCCGGCGGCAAAAGCGCCTTCGGAGGGACAAGAGGGATCGACAGACACGACAAGACCTGTTGACTACGGTCAACACCTTTGGCACAACCGCCTTCGGCGCTGCGCCTTAGGCGATGGACGTCTTCAAGAAGTCCGCCTTCGGCACTGGGAGTCATTGCCTTCGGCGGTAGATGTTCGCCTTCGGCGCTGCGGGTTGACGCCTTCGGCAAAAAGAGTTCGCCTTCGGTGGTGCGGGATAGATACGAAAGCCTTCGCCGCCGCGGCGATGTACTATGGCGGAAATCAAATTGAATTTTTGAGCGTGTGAGTCCGCGCGACGGCGGAGCGTGAAGCCGCGCGCGCGAGAGGAGGGCCGTTACGCCTCCAAGCCGGCACAGCCATCAAGCGAGTCGACACTCACGACCAAGTGTCAACAATGAAATCTTGTGAGCCAAGGGCGGACGACTCATTCTTGAATTTGCAATTTCGATTTCTTGTGAGAGTTGCGCGCGCACACATTCTGGCAGAGAGAAATTCGAGAAGGCGACGCGCAGAGACTTGCATAGCTGGGGGAGAATTGAGTGCGCGACCGCAGGAATTGAGAGAGGAATCGCAGCCGCGGGCAAGAAGCTTGGGCTTAGCGGAGGAGAGTTTGCGAAATCCGATCTCAAGAACGCAATGTCGAAGGCCACATAGCTGCGGATGATCCCATTGAAGATTCCGCAGATTGGGCTACGCGCTTTTCAGACCCAGCTGTCTGCGGTGAAGCTCAATTTCGTCCTGTGGGGATGGAATTACGTGTACCAGGACATGGTGCGCGAATGGCAGAAGGAGAGACACCAACCTACGCGCGGCTTTCGACCGCACGTAGAGCGTTGGACCATCCAAGATTGGGCACGAGTACTGGGAATATGTGCGGGAGAGGACGGATATCTCATATTCGTCCTGTGCGTAGGCGCTCGCCTATGCGTAGGTGGCATCCGTCCGCACACAAGACGCTCGTCCGCGCAGTTCCCCTCGCCGTAGGCGCAGCGCCGAAGGCGGCTGTGCCGAAGGCGTTGACCGCGGTCAACGGACTCCCTCAAGTCTGTCCATCTCTCTCGCCTCTCCGTCGACGCTCTTGTCTCCGAAATCCCGACCGGCCAAAGGCGCACTCGTCTGTTCCGTCCGTACAGTCCGTACGGTCCGTACGGATTTCGCTACTCCGTTGGGTACTCACCTAACCGTGATGCGCTGGCGCC